GGGGTTGACGTCTAGTGTTCTATGGATTGTTCCATGTGATAAATGATTGGGGGGTGGGGGGGAGGCATGTAGTGTTGAACACTGATTGCCCTTAACTTAAAGATTGTTCTTTATGATGGTGAGTGTGAATAACTGCATTTTATAAATTCTTTTTTATGGTGAGCATGAATAAACTGCATCTGATAAAACAAAGAAGTGATTTTGTGATATTTTTTTCATATCTGTGGTTGTTTTACGCTGCCATTTCTTACCTTTTGCTCCCTCTTTTGCATGGAAATAATATCTGTAAGTTGATGTTTCACGCCCACATCAACACAATTTAGATCATTTAGTGGGCGGCGGGCTGCTTTGACTCTGCCTGTCAGGACCAACTTGGACTGAGAGGGGTGCAACATCCCAGCAGACTGTTGGAGATACTTGATAATTTAAATTCTCCCCATTTTGGAACTGAGTTCATGTCTTCTGTATGTGACGGCTCTTCAGTGGGGGGGGGTTTTCGTAAGTGTTTTACGGCAGTCACAACTGCATATGAGCGTGCGGGACACATTAAACACTTTCAGTTGGTAGCAAATTTTGAATTTTGCCCCTGTGGCGGCTGAAGCCTACTCTTATCGATTTTGGATCAACAAGAGATCTTTAACCTGCGCAACTTTCACACGAGCCCTCCTAGATTTTTCGTCCTTGTCCAAGAAGGCTAGGTGTAGATCTTTTGAGACTCGAGTTTGATACCTGCACAGGGAATTTATTCAACCGAGTACCTTCGTCTGCTGGGATTTTGTATGATCTCTCCCGCTCTGCCTGGTTTGGCCCTAGTTAGATTTTAAAAAATATTTTTGAGTAAAGAGAAGCACATGGACACAATAATGGTCATTTACTATGGGGAAAAAGTGAGACATGTCATGTGAGTCACGACTCGACGTGGTGGAATGAGGCGCTCGTCAACTTTTGGACATGTGGAGTTATTGATTTCAGCTAAAAGTTTGTCCATTTGTCTTGCTTTCGAAGGAAAAATGATATCTTCAATTAAAGTTGAGGTATTTGCGGATTGAAATTTATGGAGTCTCCTGGTTTGAAAGATAGAATTAGCGAGAAAATGGCTGCCAAAGATTGGTAACTTCCATAGCTTTGGAATCTTTGGAAACAGAAAACTTACTTTTTTTGTGCCTTTAATCAATGTTTTTTTTAGCACAATCTAAACAGAAATAAATATGTTTAGAAACTGACAGTAAAGATGTCGAGTCAAAAAAAAACACTCTATTAAAAACAGCCAAAGCAGTGGCAAATACTGTTTTCTCAGATTTCATTATTTAACGAGCGCCTGATTTCGTCATGGTGCCTCACATATGGTGTTATCGATGGTAACAATCACAAACCATGTACATCTGACATTAGTCCAAACTTTTACTTTTTCAGTTTTAGTAAAGGTTAGATGATGAGAGGTGTTACAAGAGAGTAACAAACATAAAAAAGAAGAAGGGGAGATAAGGATGATAGATGTTTGATAGGAAAGAAGAACAAAACCACACCAGAGCACCCACCGACCACCCACCGACCACCCACCTTTTACTTTAAAAAAAAAAAGATTGCTTAGAAAACCTCTTGCATCATGTCTCAGTGTAATACAAATATACGGAGAGAAAAATACTAAATAGGACACTGGCGCAAAACATGTATACGGTATATTATATCATCAGTAGGGATAAAACTTTCTAACACAAACCAAAAGTCGAGCATTTGAAAATTATCTGGCTACCATGTCTATTCCATGTTAAATTTTACATTTAATATGAAAAGAAAAATTGCTCAATTTTTCTGTTTATTTCCGTATGACCCTATGACTTTAACATACTTAGGATCTTTGGTTAGTAGCCATTTTTATCCCCGATTTAAATCCTTTTTCTGTCCCCGGGGTTTTAAGTACCCCGCATAATTTAGCAACCTTGTAATCAGTAATGTCAGTGTTACAGCTGTCAGCATGCTCCCGATACACTTTATGATGGTGTTTTTCATGTGTAACGCTGTCGCTATGGCTGACAAGTGTTAGGGTTTTTTTTATAGTAGAGGGTTTTACGGCGCTCGCAACTGCATAAGGTCATATGAGCGCCAAGGGGTGGGTGTCAACAGAGAAGTCTTTACAGGGAATCAGACTTATTCTGCTCACCTCTCTAGCTTCAACAGCATAAGGTCTGCTTCGACTATCAAGGCACCTCAAAAATAGCAGGTCGCAAGAGAGTGACAAACATACAAAAGAAGTAGAGGAAAATGACAATAGTAAGGATTAGGAAAGAAAAAGCAGCAGTTCCCTGTTGTAGATCAGGCAGTTATGAGCGTGACATGAATCAGCCCATTTAAAATTCTACTGTGCTTGAATGAGAAATGTCCCCCCTTTGGGAATGGCCTAAAGACACTACAAGTGTTAACAGTAAGGCAAAACAACAAACGGCATGTAGGCAGAGCTGCCAACCCCACCGGCCACAAAAGTGTAAGATCTTAGCTAAAAAAGTGCAAGATTGTAAAAAAAAAAAAGTGTACATAATATAACAAATATCACTATTTCGACACACACGCAATTAAAACTCTTTAAAAAATTACAAGAAAAGCCAACTCGCAACATGAACTCGGCGGAAGTAGGCCTAAACAAAATGAAATTAGGTAAAAATCAATCAAGGGAAGTGTGTGTCTTCGTCCAATAGTATATATTCGCTGTCATAGGGGCCAATTAATAATAGATTGGACCGATGGCGGTCGCGAATCAGTGCGGCAAACGGAGCAAGATTTTGTTTCGACGATCGATCGGATCGAGCAAAAAGTCGTACACTTTGGCAAAGTGGTGTAAAATCTTACGATCGCCAATAAAACTTACAAATACACATTTTTGGCATAAGGCTGGCAGGTCTGTGTAGGACAGTGGTCATGGATGACTGGGTTAGTGTAGTTTTAGTGAGAGTTTTACGGCACTTGCAACACAATCAGGTCATATAAGTGCCGAAGACTAGAGGCGTTACAAGAGAGTAACAAACACAAAAAAGGAGGAGGAGAGAGAAGGACGATAGCCTTTGACAGGAAAGAAGAAGCAAATCACACCAGAGCACCCACCACCCACCCACTGACCGGGTTAACAATAAGGCTGAACAACATACCATGTGTACAGCTGTGGATGACAATGGGTTACAGTTGACAATCAACACCCCCCTCCGCCCTCCCCTTCCCAGACAAACAAATACTGTCAATCTCAGTAACGCCCCTCCCAAACGAACAAACACACTATCTCCAGCACAGACTCACACATACGCAGTCCACTTGTGTAAATACGTGTAATTTTTATTCTGTTCAAGGAGTATGTCCAATCATAGGAGCTTATGTCTATGACGATACACAGAGTACAACAAAGCTTTCTTCATCTGTCTGGACAACAACAAGAAAGACAATCCTATGTCTCGGTTGTCATGTTAAGCCCTTGATTATAAAATAAAAGAACAATTTTTTAAAAAGAACAAACGAAAGAAAAGATGATTTACTGCATGATCAGTTAACTACTAACCATGTGAGGCAAATCTTTATCTTTGCATCAAGTGTAAAAGACAAACAAATAGTCAAGCATGATGAATATAATAATAGCTAATGAATGGAAATAAGAAAAAAGAGTTTAGAATGCTTTCAATAATAACAATGCAATAACTTATGAACGGAAAAAGAAAAGAAGAGAGTTCCGAAAGCCTTGTCAAAGTGAACATGCTCCAAACAATTATTGCCTAGGAACACCTGTGCATACGATCTACTAGTCTCGGAGTAATGTTTCGATGTTTAAAGTTCTTATTGTCATATAGTTTTTGGATATGTATCTCTATATAATTATGTGTTCAAGTTCATGCTGGTCAGCTGATCCAAAGCTGACTATTGAAATTACAGTGTGACTTTGGACTCAGCGGTGTGACTTATGACTTATGACTCGGTAAGAATACTTGCCAAGATCTTATTGTTAGGCACCACACATATTTGGAGGCATATGTTCACAAAGCTAAAGAACCAAATAGAACAGTTACCTTTCTCTGATATATATAGTAAAACAAGTTGTCACTTTTTAAATAGAGCTGAGTCTAAATTCATACAAAGCAACTGGTATGCTACATTAAAAGTTAACAATTCACAAGGAGTATAAAATATGGCAGTTACGAAAACAAAGGAAACGTTTGAAATTAAATCTTATTGCGCCCCGGTTGATAAAACCAGCAATGAGGACATTGCACAGACAACCCTCAATATATGCTTAGGTCATAGATACTGGAAGAAATGGACCCACTTCTTCACGGAATGTGTCTTATTAAATGTTTGAAAACAATGGAAGTTTTAGTGGCCAAAAACTTTGAACGTATAAGGCGGCTCTTCAACATAGAATATATAGCAAATGTCGACGAATAACTTCTAGAATATATATATACGTAAAGTGGAGCTCACGATTTTTTCTTAACACAAGTATGTTAATTGACTGTTATGTTACACGTAAAACAAGCTAATTATAATTATAACCAACAGTCATTGCATAGAGATGAACAAGAGGAAGCAGGTGGACTAACCGCCACAAAGAAATTAAATAAGACCGACCTGTCATTTCTAAGTTGAAGAAAAAGTCTACAAACAAAGGAGTCAAAAACAGGCAAAATATATAAAAAAACCAAACCAACGGCAGAAAGTTTTACATGAGAACTGGCTTTTGTTTCTTTAATTTGAATAGGGCCAGTTTAAACCACAGTCAGTCAAGTGGAACTTTGACCAGGTCTCATGTATAGAACATGCTCTTGTTCTTACAGAAGAATATGATTATGAGATCCAACTAGTCATACTAATTTAACAGACTATAGTAGCTAGCGACGAGTGGGGCAGGGATAAAAAGAGAGAGAGAAAAAGATGAAGGTGGGGGAGGGGGGTGCGGCATTCAAAACTATAAGCAGCTGGTGAAATACAAAGCAGAAATGCAGATGAGATGATTGCATCACAACAACGTTGAATTGAAGTTTAAAAACAAAAATAAATGAAAGAAAAATTACAAGCAGGAACACAAAGCGATTAGTAAACAAAGAGAATGAGAGAGCGCCTATAACGTCGTTGCCCTCACCATAATGCAGGCAGCATGGCCACCACTTTCTCACGCACGGGTCATGAACACAACACGCTGGTCATCACCAAAAGAAAACATCCAGAAAACAACAAGCTATGCTTTACCTCTGTGTGTTATCAAGCAGATCCTACGCTAGCACAGTCAGAGACAAAAAATTAGAAGGCTATAACTAAAAAGAAAGCATTCTTCTACTATATATCGGTAACGTAGACAACGGAGAGACTACACCAGAGGCGTCCTTTGAAACAACGCGGCTCTCTCGGCCTCTGATACAGGGTCCATGTTATTATGCTTTTTATCTGCGCCGTTTTCCAACTAGTCCCTGAATGTGGACCACATGTTTTTACGCTGTATGCAGATTACAATGTACAGGCACAAGGTTACAAAAAACAACAACAGCAATCCCTTAAAACAAAACACAAAAAACAAAAAAAACAAGCCCAGTTGAACAGTAGAAAAATATGTACTGGTAGTACATTGCAGTGACACATTAAACGTAATGTCTAACAATATTATAAATAATATTATTTCATAAATAAGGCCGGTCATATTCTCCATTATTTCGCCTACCTTTAATTAAGTACATCGTACACCAAAGCCAAATACTCGGAGTCATGGCTATATATATATATATCTCACCAGCATGCACAAAAACAGGTGAAAGGCCATGCGGTCCTCCAAAGAGCTTGATAATGATAAAACGCATCTCTACACTGAAATGCCCACAATTTTCTTACTACAAACCTGTCCCTTTTCCTGCCTCTCAGAACCTTTTCCTAAACTTCCAAACTTCCCACAGGCAACAACCAAGTATCATCTTATCTCATTTTTCAAGATAAATGTCCTTCATAGAAAGCTGAGATGGCTCAAACTAAGCTAGATCTATTACATAACATTGTACTTTGTTGAAACAGATGTAGACCAAACACACAGATTTATCAGGTTCTCGGTGGTGCCGGAAACTATCAATACTGGTAGTTAGCAAAACCATAATTAGAATACAGAACAGGTTTCAGACAGTTTGTTGCGTACTGGTACAGGCCACGATTCTTGTTGAATCAGCTGTTAGTTTCTCTAATTCTCAACTATCACAGGTCCATTTTTTCATCTTCTCCTAATCAACCGGTCCTCCTTCCATCTTATTTCTGTCTCTGTGGTCAGTCTGTGAGACCTAAGAAATGTCCCTAGTGATACAAAGGGCTGTTTCTGTAACACAACCTGTAGAATATTTCTGAACTGGACTCAAAAACTTTCAAATTTGGCCAAATTTGGACTTGAAGAATCAAGTGGTAATAAACTGAGAAATCTCCAGCCTCTAACACAGGGCAGGACGTTACTGAGTGTGTGCACACCAACAAAGATACATCTCTACAGTCACATTGCGTAATGATAATAACAACACAGAAAACTACCATCCAATCGAAAGCAAAAGTTATTTGTTATATATATATATATATATATAATATATGTAATGTATTTATATAAAAACATACTCTACCGTCACTGAGACATACTTTTGGAGACAAATATTATATCAATGTTACCACATAATAAAACAAACAACTATTGAAAATTCGATAACAATCTTGCATAACGGGTTGCAGGTTCAGGAAAAAAAAAAAAAATCACACACGCTCAAAAGCAGATTATTGTAATATAACTTAATATAAGACAGATCATCTTATCTTTTCATTCAATCAATAAGAACAGACAATTGGCTTAACTGAGAATCCTCCGACAAAACAAAGTATACGATGGCAGACCAACTTCCTGCCTTTGAGGGGGGGGGGAAATATTAAACTTAATTTTAACTAGTGTTTATAAACGATTTGCCGTAATAACGTGTTATTATTATCATCATATAAGAAACTTACACAGTGAAATAATTTAACAGTAGAAAGCTTTTTCTGGATAGACTTCAGTATAAGACATTACAGGTCAGGTATGAATATAATTTTAAATAGTAATTGTTGTAAATTATTTGTTCAGTTTCAGTTTATTGATAGATATGAGTGGAGGAAGAACACAGAGAATAAACATTTTGATCAATTTGTACCGTAACAACGTCTGTTCTTCTTCAGTCTCACGCGTATTCAGTTATTCTCCAACCATTTTCTGTCACCCACGGGGTTTGTCATTTGCATCTGTTTTTTTTTTCCTTGAAAGCGAGTCCTTATCAGGACAAAATATTAGGAGTAACAGGCACAATATCGAGCTGCTGAACCTTATAAACAGCATGTAGTTTCATTAAACACGCATCTTCGGCAAACAGCCTAACTATTACACTACAAAGGCCTGTTTGCAAAAATGTGTTTACTTCTTTCTCTCTGTGATATCTGGTGACAATTTTAATTTGAAAAAAGAAAATCATGTAGAACCAAAATGGAAGCCAACAGAAACACCGTCAATTTCTTCTATAGGAGGATAAATAAAGTCTCTTTTATCTTATCTCCCAAAGTTTCTTCTAATGGAAGCACAGTAAAGTACATCTTATTTCTTTAATCAGATCTCATCTTAAAAGGAAATTAATTTTGATTCGTCCCCGTGGATGACATGAACTTCATTCTCTCAACATCTATTTTTAGACGTGCGTGGACTTTTCCTTCTTGTGTTCTTTCTCTTTATGTTCTTTATGCTCTTTGTCCTTCTTCTTCTTGAGGAAGCCGAAGACTCCACCATGGCTCTTCCTCTTCTCCTTGTCCTGCATGTCCTCTTGTCTGGAGGAGGACATAACGTACTCGGACGCTGGGCGGCTGGAGGATGCTCCACCTGGCTGTCTTGCCCGGTACTGAGGACAAGGAAAAAATAACTGTGATTATTCTGTAGAGATTTTGTAGTTGTAAATTTGTGTCATCAGGCGTTCGTCAGTTTTTTTGGCATATATAGAGTTTTCGGTATAATCTTAAAGTCTCTTCATTTCCCGTGCTTTTAACAAAAAAAATACCCATCTATCTTGATTAGAAGTTGAGATATTTGCGATTGAAGGAGGTGGAGGTCTCCTGTTGTCAGATGTAAAATTAGTGAGAAAATTGCCGGCAAAGCTTGGTGACTTCCATAGCTTTAGAGCCCTTAGAAACTGAAAATTTACATTATTTGTACTGTTTTAATTAACATTTTTCAGTCAAGTTGACACAGAAGTGTTTTTACATTGACATAAAAGGTGTTTAGCTAAAAAAAAAATATACGACAAAAATGGTCAAAAACCCAGGAAAATGACTGTTTCTTCGATTTCATTATTTAGATGAGTGCCTGATTTCACCAGGATGCGTCACATTTGGCATCTGTTCTATGCCTCTATTGACATGATTTGTGACCCTATACAGTGTTCTCAGGCTCTTGTCAATTTTTGGCTTTTGGAGTTATTGGCATCATCTTGCAGCTTGTTCATTTGTATTGATTATGATGAAAAAATACTCAACTGTCTTGAACAGAGAGAGAGAGGTAGGGGTTGCCTAGAATCAGATGTAAAATGAATGAGAAAATGGTTACCAAAGCTTCAGTATTCTCAGAAACTGCACTTACATTTTATGTGCCTACTATCAACATTTTTCTGTAAAATCCACATAGAAATACTGTAGGTTTTTACATCGACTTAAAATTTAATAAAAGGAGTTGTGCGAAAAAGAAAATTTAATAAAACTCTTCCAACAGTTGGAAAAATGTCAGTTTCTTGGATTTCATCATTTTGACGAGAGCCTGGTTTCTCCTCGATGACACACATTGGTTATTGTACGGTTCATGTTTTATGGTTGTACATTTTGTATTATGTTTCTGTATTTGCTCACACGACCGCTCCGAAATCAAAAGATGCACTAAATTCTCTGAGTGGAAGAGAACAAGTCAATATCTTTTACCTAAGAACTCAACACATCCCACTGAATTCCTATCTATAATAGGATTCGCAAGGACAGCCCACCTGACTGCCCGTTGTGTGACTGCCAGGACTAAACAGTGTCACACCAACTCTTTACCTTCCATGCTCTTAGCGACCTGTGTAGCACCTACCTACCAGCCTCCCAAGATACGGGAAATACTTCATACAGCGACAAAACACAGCTGACAAAAACCTGTAAATTCTTTACCATATATCAACAGGCCGAAGGACTAGAACCCAGATGGCCGCTGGATCGGAAAAGTAAAGCAAAAGTAAGTAAGTGTTATGTTTTATTTTAAGTAAGTAAGTGTTATGCTTTATGTCCCTATCGACATGTCCCTATCGACAGGGTTTGGATTATAATCTTGAGGAGGAGGGAGGTTGCTCTGAGCCTGCCTGTCAATGTCAACCTGTGTTGAGACGGATACAAAGTTGTAGCAGTCACCGGATCAGATGACGGTACACAATTACTACCAAAAAAATAAAACCCTCTCAACGGCAAATAAAACTCAAGTCTTTTGTGTGTGATGGCAAAGAGGTTAACTGTTACACCACAGAGGAAAGAAAGATGATAGTCAGAACAAAGTAGATAGATATGTTTTTGTTGAACAGAAGCTCACTGTGATGTTCCCATTACCAACTCAACACCATCCCACTTATCCAAACCCTGATCCAAAAGGACACAAATTGCCAGGAAAAAAATCTCTCGTCTTTTTTACCAGAAAGCAGTAGCTCTTACCTGAACTTCTTCGTCGAAAGAAGAATCTGAGGACAGAAAGATGATGCATGTTAAGCCAAAGTGCCATGACTGCTATTTATAGAAAACAGATATCTATATACAAATCATGTGTTTTATATTCCTTTTCACCCAGTTTATATCTCGACCGATAAGATTGCTCTTTTTAAAAAGTTGAGTCACGAGCCAAAAAACTGTGAGATGACGGTTCTTGGTCTCAGTTGTTCTACTGAGACAAAAAGCTGACATTCTAAGATAAAACTTATATAGATTGGTAAATCTGATTTTTCAGATAAAAGAGCCTAGTTTCCTGCACTACCGTATACATTTCAGTCACATCAAAAATCATATTACTATAATATTATATTCAAGTACATTTATGAGTTCAAAGAGGACAATTTGAGTATTCACGTATATCACTTAGAAATAAAATACATATAGGATAAGTTTAAATATATGCCGGTGAATATGTGTGTGTGTGCATGTGTGTGTGTGTGTGTGTGTGTGTGTGTGTGTGTGTGTGTGTGTGTGTGTATGTGTGCGTGTGTGTGAGTATGTGTGTGTGTGTGTGTCTACCCTCACCACTCACCCTTCTCTTGCCCATACTCCTCCCCTAAAGGTTGCTGCTGGTAGTCATCCTCTGTCAAACAAAACATGATAACGGATTACCATAAGGTTAAGGGAAAGGTTTAGTTGAGATCTCCATCTACAAGGTGAATAGAGCATGCTGAAAAGCATGGGTATGTGCTTATATATAAATATAATTATAATCATTATCAATATTATTATTATCATCATCATTATCATCATCATTATCATCATCATTATCATCGTTATCATCATCATCATCAATTGTTATTGTTATAGTATGATCATTATTATTATTAATGAGTAAATTTCCTCTTCGATGTAGCACAGAGTTCCCCATGTCGTATGGATACGATAGTAAAACACGACCTACGGATAGTGTTAAGTGGTGGCATAGAGTCCTCACGTCGTATGGATACGATAGTAAAACACGACCTACGGATAGTGTTAAAAAGTGTCACAGAGTCCTCACGTCGTATGGATACGATAGTAAAACATGACGTACGGATAGGGTTAAAGTGTCACCTGAATTGTTGGAGGGAAGACTGGAAGTCCTGGAGTGGGCCGGTGAGCGGTCGTCTGCTGCTGCTACCGTGGACACATCAGAGGAGATCACGTGCTCTATCGTCCGCGGCATCGGCTGTGGCGGGGCGGGGCCAGGCGGGGGTGGGGCCGGCCCAGAGGTGAAGGAGGCGGAGTTTGTGCTGGTGGCTGCTGTAGGTGGTTGGTCAGCAGGGGGGAGGTGGGACGGAGGGGGAGGGCTCACGTCACGAGCCTCTTGCCCCTGATAGGAGGATCGCGCAAACTGCTCTGAGGGGTCCAGATCTATTGGTGGGAAGGGGCGGGGCAAAACGAAAGGGGGAGGAGCAAAAGGAGGAGGGGAAGGCAAACGAAAAAGAAGGAAACAGAAAAAGAGGGGTGGGGAGCAAGCAGTGTTGTGTACAGAAGAATGAAATTGGAGGATTTGAGTAGGGAAAAAGTATTTTTTATAAAGGGGGGGGGGGGGTGGTGTTACCAAAAGCAAAGGAAAGGAGGAGGGATGGGGGAAGGGAAAGGAGGAGGGATGGGTGGAAGGGAAAGGGGTGGAAAACAAAATAAAATGTACCACAGCACCAATAGGGAACACTCATCAGGTAAACGAAAACATGTCAAGATAAATGATAAAAGCCCCACATAGAGAGAGAAATACCATCATCATCATCGTCAAGTTGGAAAATCAAAAAACAGAAAAAGGGGTGAAAAAACCCACCAAAAACAACAATGTATGTTATAATAATTCCCATTCGAAGTAACACTTCACCAAAAGTGAATCTTCGAATGAACGAAACTTTCTACATGACAACATCGACTTGACGCTCTCGCGTCTTTCCCCGTGAACTTGTAAGTCATATTTGACGTTATTTCTTTCCATTTCCAGTATTAGTTTTAGTAAAAGTTTTACGGCACTTGCAACACAATAAGGTCGTATAAGTGCCGAAGATTAGGTGTTACAAGAGAGTAACAAACATGAAAAAGAAGGAGGAGAGATAAAGACAATAGATGTTTGATAGCGAAGAAGGAGCAAACCACACCAGAGCACCTGCCAAAAACCCACCTTCCGTTTCTGAGACTAGACGTAAGCCATGAATGTATCATGAAGAGCAAAGGGGCAATTAAGACAAAATGGTTTGTCTCTAAAGTTCAAACTTCCACTTTCTCTCGTTAGATCACAAAAGCATAAATTTTAAACTTTACCGGTTTAAAACAGTTTGTCTCAAAATTAAAGGCAGCAGCCTGCGATCTCTATGAATCAAATGACCAAATAAGCTTTTTCTCTACTTTTATTCATTCTGCCCCAATAAATGTTTCCATTTCGACATTAAGATACCATATTAACCTACCCCCCGCCCCCCACACACACTTTTTGTTCCATATAATTTCTAAAGGTCAAAATTGATGATCTTCGAGCTTGGCGGGGAACGCTTGTCGTGGAACGCTTGTCGTGGAACC